TCGTTAATATTTTAGCTATAATAAAAAACTTACGTATTACATTTTTAAGCTTTTTGACCTGATAAATAAATTTTTATTGACATTTATAGAAAAATAAATTTAATTAATTAAATACAATCCAAGTTAGGACGGTAAAACCAAGCTTGTTACCAAGCAATTTAAATACATTTTCATTTTTTTTCTCCAATTACTTTTGAAAGCACTGAGAATTTTCAATTTTGACCTATTAAAAGTACTTAACTAGATCCAATTTGCTTCCAAAAATATACACTGGGCATCGAAGCTCATGATCAGAGCATTTTTTCTACCAGAAAATTTGAAAAGTTACAAACATTTTAAAATACCCCAAATAAACGTATGCAACTATTAGACTGGACAAAAAAAAAATAAAATTGTAACTAATTTTCAAGGCCCCCCCCCCATTGAAAAACTGCTCCCAACACATCTGATTGTTAGAATAGACAATTGTATCTTAAGTACGTTTATTTTCATACTATTTTCGAACAATATTATATGAAATAAATAACACAGCAGTTGACATAATATAATACCCTATAATATTATTATGTAGGTATGTACCTAACTATAACCTATGTAAGATATTATTATTTAATTTAGCTTTGAGTCAACATTTAGCAAATAATCGTATAACCAATGTCCAATAACTATTAATTTTATGTCATACCTACCTTACTACCTTACATGAAAATCATTATTTCTAAACAAATTAATTTTGAAACTAGTTTATATATTTTTGGAAATGGTCCTCTAATTTGTTCTGTCACAAGGTGTAAAATAATAATAGCACCTTTCTAAGTTCTACATTTTTACTAACATAACCTAGGTCATAGGTGTAGGTACTAGTGTACTACTGTATTACGTTAAAGCGAAACGCCTCCTCAACGATGAACACATGAACTTATAAAAATTGCAAGGCTTAAAACCGAAAAAAATTTTTATTTTTATTTCGATATTGGTTAGGTATCGTTTTATTATTTTTCGATTTTAGTTTCGATATTGTTTACCGGTTTTATTTTTGAGGTTTCGATTTTGATTTTGATTTCGGGTTTTTAACGGTTTTAACCCGTTTTCAAAATCAATTTCGAAACCGGTTTTAAGCCCTGTTTGCAAACACAGTTCATTATTTATAGCAATTAATTGAGAACGATTTTATTTTATAATTATTACCTATTTATTAAGTAATAATAATTTACCTACTATCTATACCTACCTACTTAAATAGTTTTTCTTTTTTAAACTGTATTGTACGATTTAAAATAATATATTTTTAGGATAAAGATGGGCCCCGAGACCGTGCCACCCTTGCACCCCCCCCCCCCAATCCAGCATGACACTGTGGGTCACTGTATAATGGATGGTATTAAATTTGAATTCAATGATATAATATCATTGTATAAGAAAAACGATTCTGAGCGAAGACGGTATGTCAGCCTAGGTATAACACATATTATATACATATCTATTTTATTAAACAAAAATTGACCTATAAAAGGTACCTATAATAAATTCCAAATTAATCATATCACAATATCCATTAGGTACTTATAACGCGTTATACATCAACAAAAACCCTGATACTATCATAGATATATAATAGTGTACTTTAGAAGTTTCAAGTTCACACAATCACAACAAACTAATTAAAATAGTTATTCTAGGTTTTTTATTATGTAATTTCGTCCAAATTTGAACTCCTGTCTCGTTTTACTTTTGTTTAGATGAATTCCAAGATATGGTAGTTGAAGAATATGATGAGGAACTGAATGGTGAAGTACAGGCAAATAATAATCAAGCATACAATCCGAGTATGTATTTCGTTGATTTGAGAATTGACGATATGAAATTTTTATTTTTATTTTTTATAGATCTATGGCCAGTGGCATCTACAAAAATGCTTATTGCAATAAGTTGTCCAATGAGTGCCGAATTTGAAAAAATTAAAAAAAAGGGTCAAAAAACTGCACTCTGGCAAAAAATTGCCAACAAAATGACAAATAAAAATTATAATTATACTGCGAAGCATTGTGATGAAAAGTGGAGACGACTGCTCACACGCTTCCGACAGGTACACGATGCTAGTAAACGTAGTGGAAATGGAGGCGTAAAGTGGCAATATTATGATCTAATGCAAGAAGCAATGTCATCAGTATCGAAACAGACCATTTCACCTCAAGAAAGTAAGATATCTTAGTTTTTTTTAAGGAAGTATTTACAATTACCTTTAACCATTGGCGTGCGCACGAGACATAGTGAAATTTATAAGTATAATTTATTGTCAGTCCTGTAAAGTATTTGAGTAAAAGTATTCAAATACTTTTTTAGGTATTGAATAACTTTTTAAATACTTTCAGCATGAAGTATTTTGAATGGTATTTTAAATACTTTTTGGTATTGAATACTTTGGAAAAATATTATTGTCAACTACAATAATAGAATAATAGTTTTTATTTAATATTCTGTATTTCTGTGTTCGCCCAAGCCCGAAGGTTTGTGAAATGTACGACGGATGACAATTTTGAATACATAATGTTTTTAAAATGTAATAAACATTTATTTAATATATAATAAATAAAAATGATTATAAACCCACTACCTATGTGTCTATATTACAATAATGAGAAACCCACTTTAAAAACCAAAAGTATTTGAAAAGTATTCCAAATACTTTTTCAAAGTATTGAGTAGTATTTGAAATACTATACAATTAAAGTATTTGAGTAGTATCTTAAATACTTAAAAAAAAATGTATTTGAGTATTTACTCAAGTACTTTTTAAAAGTATTCTTTACAGGACTGAATTAATTGTATAACAATCAGTGGCAAAAGTATTATTTTGGAGCAATCGTGCCTTCAACATTTTTGGTAGTTGGGTGGTCCCCCCCTCCACAATCTACCTAGTCTCCTAAATTTAGTGCACAGGTGTGCTGTACATGGTCCATTACACTGGTAACAATTGGTACTAAGTGCTAACTCATAGCTATACCAACGTAAGAAACATTATGGAATCTACACGCACTAAATATAAATCAAGATACAAGATAATTAATGAGTGTGATAATTTAACTAATTAAGTAGGTACATCTGATTACACAAATCTCTACAAATGTATGCATATTTTGTAAATGTTGAATATCTTGCTATGATGGAAATGCCGTTAGAATGGATAAAGAAGTAGGGGTGGGTGGGTACCTTGTATACATTTTTGCTCCTCAGTAAAAATGATTTTAACTCATTAAGGTAATTGTTATATTTATAACACTTGTAATAGCTAATCAAGTTATTACTTAAATTTAAATACAATTAGTTATAGTACATTAGTTATTAGTTATAGTATATTTTTCCATGTTACAGATTTGTTAAATGAATCTTCTAGGTCTGAATCTACTCCATCAGTAACAAAATCTCATGTTTTGAATACTCCAGAATTGTCATCACCAGCATCAAGGTCTAGTCCATCACCAACGCACCATCGCACCATCGCACCAACGCACCATCCATCATTATTAAAATTAAACAACAGTGACAAAATGCCTGTTTGGTTTGAGAAATTTGAAATATTGAAAAAAAACAAACAGAATTTAATAATGAAAACACAGCACAACTCCATGAACGGTTAGTAGGACAAGAAATGTAAATAAAAAAAATATTTTATAATCTGTCATTATTCCATAAGCTTTTTTTTTTATATAGATTAGACAGGCTGGAAAAGAGAGAAGAGAGTATGATACAAGTACAACAGCAGCTTCTAAGTAAGTTAGATACTGCAAATGAAATTGAGTTACAAAAGTTGGAAATATTTAAGAAAATGTTCAACAAACCCTAGTTATATTTTTTAACCCTTTAGTATACTGATACCTAATTGTTTTTTATTACCATAAGTAATTATAATACTGTTTTTTTAATTTTTTGTTAAATTATATCCTTTAAACACAAAACTTAATCAAAAGAACTGATTAGTTTAAAATTATTATTTATTTTTGTTAAAGTCTAAGTATTATTATGTTTTTCGTTTCAATACAAATTCTATTACCTTATTGTTTTTTATTACCATAAGTAATTAAATAACAAACTGTTTTTGTTTAACTAATTTTTTTGTTTTTATTTATAAATATTCATTTATTTGTAAAGAATTACATATAAAATCTCTTTTAGTCATGCCATCCATAATTTAATCTTCATTTTCCTCGATAGTTTCTTCTGATGGTATTGGATCATAATCAATATAATCATCGCCTACTGACATACATATATTGTGTACGCAGCATGCAGCTGTAATTATTTTTCCACAAACATCTTTTTTATATATATCCATATGCCTGAAATTTAAAATTAAATGTATTACTTGATTTTTAAAGATTTATTTATTATATCCATGTACATTGTACATGAAGTTTCATTATAACATACTTTAATTTCCTAAATCTGCAAATTAATTTTCCAAAACGCCTGCTCAATTAGAATTCGAGTACTACTCAATGTCCTATTAAAATTTTTTTCCTGTCTGGTTAAATGCCCATTATCTTTAGAAGGTACAATTAGACCTTCAGTCAATGGGTATGCACCATCTCCCAGAATATGGCATGTTGGTGGTAGAATGGTCCAAGAATTATTAATGATCACCTGACCAATACTGCTGCAACGATAAATCCGTGCATCATGTGTACGTCCAGGCCAACCAGCATAAACATCTATAAACTTTAGATTTGCATCAACGATTCCCTAAATAAATATAAAATTATTAATTAATTTAAACCTAGTAGTAGAATATAAACTATTATTTATATTATTATTACAGTTGAATTAAATTTATCCACAAGTACAATATTTCTAAATATCAGTATTAGATTAAAATGTTCAACATTAAATTATAGGGGGGGGACAATGGAGAGGCAAAATCAAATGTTGGGGGCACCAGCCTACCATTGCCCCAGTGTAAGACTGCCCCTGCCAGCTATTAATAGGTACATACCTGTAATACTATGGTAGGCACTTATTTTCGATTAAACATATTTCTATCCAGTTTTGGCATTTTTGTTCTCTTTTCAAATGGAAATAGTGTATTTATGTGGCATCCATCAATACAACCAAAAACATTTGGAAATGAATTATCTCCACGAAATAAATTAAATTTATTCAAATTATCTGTGGCAGCTTGGCCAGATGGCCAAACAATAATTTTAGCAGCTACACTATTCAAAGCTATTAAACAGTTATTCACTATTGCGTGGCTTGTACTCCTCTGCTACATCGAATCTATTTGCAATTTGTCTAAAAATTAAAAACCAATACGATATTAATGTTATTTTACCTAAATAATTTTAGATATTTTATTTCATTAATTTTTTTCACCTTTAAGTTTCACAATTTGCCATATACCAAATAAAAATTAAAACTTGTTTTTCTATATTAATTTTTATAGAATCCAATGAAAGAATCGGGCCAATGTATGAGACAAATACCTAAGAAAAATAAACTTTCAGTAGAAATTTAGAAAAATATTTGAACAACATAAAGTATACATTTTCATTAAATTAGTACTTTTAAACATGGCCCTTAGAGACAAATAATAAACCTCAATACTCCTTCGATCTAAACGAAAGTGAGATTTCAATTCCTTGTCCGAAAATTTTGGTACCATCAATTCAGCAAATATTTTTATTTTTGTTTTTAATTCTTTTGATTTATTAGCTTCACTAAAAATAATAAAGTCATATTCACTTTGATCATCATCACCGGAACCAAAATACAGTGGATGAATAAATACGTCTAATTTAAAAAATGTCTTACATGTTAAATGTATAAGTATCTTGTAGTGAGTACAGGGTTGGGAAAGATACTAAAAAAAAAGTATCATGATATACTTAATACATGATACATGCATTTAGTCTATCAAGATTCAAGATACATGATACATGTACATTGGCGCAAATAGAGTTTGGGATTTGGGGGGGCTAAAGCCTTACTTTGATAATATTGACTAAGCTTAAAACAAAATGTAGAAAATTTTTGGGGGGGCTATGGACACTTTTGGGAGGGCTTATCCCCTAAAGCCCCCCCCTATTTGCGCCTATGTACATGTATCAAAGATACTTAGATACATGATACTTTTATATTTGTAATCAAATTGTATTTACTATTAAACTTAAAACGTCTATACATAATTCACTAGGTACCTATACTGTCAAAACATAAATACTATTAGAGTCAAAATTATATTAAATAATACAATAAGTCAATAGGTACCTGGTACACATTATAACATTATAACTAATACATCACTGTATAACATAAATACACCAAAATTAATAAACTGCATAAAAATTACATCTTAATGCGTACTTTATATAGTTCCTTATTTATATAGTTCCTTTATGTGTACAATTGGTAGTGGACTTATGGTCAACAATGAATATAAATTAAATATAAAATACTAATAATAATAAATTATATATAAAATATAAATTAAATTGGTTATGGTCTTATGCCCTTATTAGTTATGGTTAGTTTTTACTTTTTAAATTAAATATTATTTTTATGAATAAAATATTGATTGCTTTTAAGAAAAATTAAATGTTCAAATGTTTTGTCTGATAGATTAGATCTACTGGGTGAGTGCACAAAACTAGCAAATGAAAATAAACGCTCAACAGGAGCACATGAACAAAGACGTGTATTATATTATATAAATAGTTTTTTTATAGATGGATAATTATTTAAACAATGTAATGATTTGTTATTGTCGTTAAAATAAGTAATTAATTCTAGTTCATTCTTTGATTGCTAATTAATATTATCTAATACAAAAAATCGAAATGTGTAGGTACTATTCAGTACACATTTCTACACTAAAAGAACCTTGTATCTTTTGGCACAACATTTGGCATAAAATCTATCATGATACCTGATACTTGATACTTTAAAATTATGTATCATGATACAAGATACAAAATTCAATTGTACTTGATACTTGATACTGCCCAACCCTGTCTGGGTGGGTAAAACATTTAAATTTACTAAAATCTATACTTACTTTTTCGATTGGACATCGATTGTACTGTATGATTTATAACATCAGTGACAACACGGTTCTTACTGAGAATAAAATTCTTAAGCATCGCAATTTTTAGATTCTGAGCGGAGCGATGAATGTATTGGTTTTACAATGATGTATGTTTTTTTTTATATTTTTATTTATATTTTTGTGTCTGTCATCACGTTTTAGGACAGTAAAAATGCTTGGATTTTCTTCATCAGTAGCTTTTCTGGTAGGAAAGTGAATCTAGTTGGTACTTTGGGGGGTCAAAAGTATAAATTTCCCAGTAGTTTTCACAAGCGCCGGGAAAAAACAACATAAAAATTAAGGAAAAACGGGAATTTTTACGCAAAATTGGTTTTCCAAAAAATCGATTTTGGTTATTGGTGTAACTCTAAAACAAATGAACGTATATACATGAAATTTTCACTGGTTGTTTATATTTGCATTTTCTATACACGATAACATTTTCAAAATATTTTGATTTATTTTGAACTGTTTAGGGACATTTTCATTTTCCATTTTTTTTTAGTTTTTTTTCTAAAAATATCAATAAAATTTTATTTATTGGTTGCGAAAGCTTGAAAATTTAATAGAAGGTTCCTAATTTGTTGTTTCAAAGGCAGATGAAAAATATTAAAAATCCTTAGTCACAATTTTTTTTTATAAGCATTTAAAGTTCAAAAATTGACAAAATATGGAAAAATCACGAAAATTAGCAAATTATTTTGAGTTAAGAATTCGTAAAAATTTTTCTATTTAAATCTAAGATTTGAAAATGAAACACAAGATTCCTTATTAGATTATCTACCTTTATCAATAAAAAAATCTCTACCGGACAGTCAAATTAAATTTTTATGAGCGTTTGAAATTCAAATTTTTACAACATTGGATTTTCACTCGATTACTCATGTAGCGATTTCCTTATTTTGTTGCAATTCAAAAACGAACAACTGTAGATACATGAAAATTTCACTGAATGTTTAAATTAGCATTTTCTATACACCATACAATTTTGAAAATATTTTGACTCTTTTTGAGCTGTTTATGGACATTTACAGCTTTCAATTTTTTTTAGTTTTTTTTTCTATAAATATCAATAAAGTTTTATCTGTTGGGCCAAAAAGTGTAAAAATTGAATACAAGGCTCCTGATATATTGTTACAATAGCAGTTGAAAAATATTAAAAATACATAGGCATGATTTTTTTTTATAAGCATTTAAAGTTGGAATTTTGACAAAATTTATCAAAATCTCGAAAATTATCAATCGTTGGAATTAAAAAATTATAAAATGTTCAGTTTTTATAACTAAGAGTTGAAAATTTAAAACAAAGATTCTCTTAAATAATTCATACTGTAACCAAAAAATCTAAAAAATATATAAACACACTTATTTTTTACAGACATTTTAATTTCAAATTTAGACAAAATTTCATATTTAAACCAAGAATTACGATTTTAGTTATTTTGTTTTGATTGAATAATATTATTCGTGGGTACTTGAAACTTCTAAAGTGTACTATTATATATCTATGATAGTATCACGGTTTTTGTTGATGTATAACGCGTTATAAGTATCTAATGGATATTGTGATATGATTAGTTTGTAATTTATTATAGGTACCTATTATAGGTCAATTTTTTGTTTAATACCATAGATATGTATATAATATGTCTTATACATAGACTGACATACCGTCACCGCTCAGAATCGTTTTTCTTATACAATGATATTATATCATTGAATTCAAATTTAATACCATCCATTATACAGTGAGCCACTTGTAACCTACTGTACAGCAGAGCGACACCCACTTGCCCACCTTTTTTTAAAATTATTATTATCATCATCCATTTTTATTTTAATTGAAAAAAAATTATAAAACGCAGAAACTAGACATATTAATAAATATGGAAACTAGCTAGTATAGGCAGATGAAAACTATGACAAAGATTTAAAAAACCGCGGGAAACAATTCATATCAACTATATCCACGATAAGAAAATGAATTAGAAAAGTGGGAGTAAACCGATCTATAGCCCGAATTTCTATCTAAACCGGTGTGTCTTTACGCAGAACCATGATCATGAATCGGGATCGGTAGAGCAAACCGGTTTAGTCTGGCGAATTTCTTGTTCGCCACCCGGTGGTCACGACTGGTCGCACATAATATTATTATCAACGTTGATGCGGTCTCTTACCAGGTATCTGTTATCAAAATGTACTGAATATATTCTCGTATTCTACAAGTCGTTTGTTGTTGTGTGGATTTCAAAAAGCAAAACGAATATTATTATAACATCGTCGTACACGAAAAACGTGCGAACTCTTTCCAGTAATTTTTCTTCGCTTCGAGAAATTTGAAGAGTGCGTCTAACTTCTAGTACGCGTAGTAGGCATACCACACAGTCCACACGTCCTAGTGCCCGTCTTATCCTGCAAAAAGTGTCCGCCATCGCCACGTCCATCGCCTCCGTAAGTATTTTTATGAGTTGCTTCCACGATTTAAGATATACTGGTTACACATCGAATTGTGATAAGGAGACCGTCTAACTGAATCCCTATATCAGCTCTGGAACTACTGACTGGCGCCATCTAGCGATAAATGTATTAATCCGATATGAGACACTGATTATTTTTACCGCGCTTTTTAAATACTACTAATTGATATTGATAATTACATAATAATATATTTTTTATTAATATAAAACAATAGAGAAATATGATGATATTCTCAACTCTGAATATTGATAACTGTTACCCACGATCGACGCTATTTGCATAAATTCAGTATAGTGTAATTAAGATTTAAGTTTGTCTTAATTTAACATGCGGTGTTGTGTACCAAATTGTATAGGTATTGGTAGTACTTTTGGCATACCTAAAAATGCATTTAATTTGTGGCAAAATGCTCTTGGTATAGAGTTGAAATCCAACTATAGAGTATGTGAGGTACATTTCAGAACTGATGACATCATTAAGACATGGGTTTCAGGCCAAAGTCAATTTTCGGTTAGTGAATATTAATCTAATACTTAATAATTTAGATAGGCTCAATCATAGATTAATATTGATGTATGAGTTCACCTTAATGTCATTAGTAGTTTTAAATATTAAAATATTATCTTTTAGATATGTTACAAAAGGCCTAAATTACGGGAAGGAGCAATACCTATTGATCGACATTCTAATGTTATGGTATGTATTATTTTGTTTTACTTCAAAAATAAAATTATAATCACA